GGCCTGGCTACTACTCTTGACACCCTCCTATTGCTGGTCGTGTTTGATTAACTCTGTGATGGCAGCGATGGTGGCAACAGTGGTGGCAGGGTGACTGTGGCACCTTGTGTACCATCTAGTGAGCACTCAGTGTGCCAGGTGTTTTGCTAAGTACCTTGTACCCATTTTCTCATTTAGTGTTGACAACAGCCCTGTGAGGCTAGATAACATTATCATCCCCATTGCAGAAACTGGAGTTTAAAGAGAGGTTGGGATAGATGTCTCCTGAAATTAACAATTGGTTAATGGAGTTGGAACATTAGTCAACTAGTGATAATTAATTATAAGAATATAAAGAAATTACTTTTCCTTTTACTATTTATTATAGTGGCCATTATAATTATAGTAAGGTGACAATTTGCCAGTTTTCTAGACAGGAATATTAGGATGTCCTTTGTTTCATTAGGCTTTTGATTTTTATTGGGTTTGCCTCTTTAATGAACTGTGGATATAGTAAATATTCATTGACTTGAATTTCTTTAATTTGAAATGATAATTTGGACATGGGCTGGGCCTAAGTTTACCTTTGAACTTCAAGTAAAAATTAAGGACTTACTAAACAAACTGTAGACAAGAAAAGTGCTTTTCTATAATGGAAGCATATTGTTCTAGCACTGCTTTGAACATGAAAATAATATCAGAAGGTTATAGACACCAGCCTGTGGTTTTAAGGTTGCTGTTTCAATATAGTTAAATCATCTATTCATTAAAACATGACTTCTTGGCTTTATAACTGTTTGTTTCAGTAGAAGTCATAAAACTGGAAACACTCATTTCTTTTAATAAACAGTAGAATATGGCCATCTGTGTTTGTCAGTGAATACATTGTCTGAAAATATTTTTGTTATGATAATATTGATTTTTGTCTTTGACATATCAGAATAGTTAAAGTAGAATTAAGTGCATTGAAAGGACTTCATTTTGACTAAATTCAGGGGAATTATAGAAAAAAAGGAATATAAATATATTTTTTTCCCATTCTTGCTCACTGAAGAGAATCATCAGTGAGTCTGAAGTTCACTTTTAAAATTTGAGTTTATAAACTTGTAGCCTTAGGCTTTGTGTCTATTCACTGCCATAGATATAACAACATAGAGTTGTGGATATTTTACTTTAAGTTGATGATAATATGTTATTTCAGCAAATGCTCTTTTTATTTTCTTTTTAAATTTACTTGGTTTGGCCAGAAGATGATTTTTTTTCCACAGGACAGAGCTAAAAACGTAAAAACTGCAGTGATAAACATAAAACTTGAATTCCCTAAAGCAAGAGGTTTTGATTATATTTTAGTGAGACAAAAATTTTTATTATTATTATTATTTATAAACCTTAGGGCTAAACTGTGAGGAATGGTCTGTTTTCACTTTGATGTAGGAACAACTGAAAATGAAGGATCAGTCTTTGAGAAAACTGCAACAGGAAATGGACAGTTTGACATTTCGAAATCTGCAGCTTGCCAAGAGGGTAGAGCTACTTCAAGATGAACTATCTCTAAGTGAACCCCGAGGCAAGAAAAACAAGGTAGGTTCGAATAAATGCAGGTCAATGTGATCTTGTCATTAGGCACAGACATCTACAGGCCATCCTTGTTTTAACAAAAGACCCCACTCAATTAGAGAATACAAATTCTCTAATGTTCCATTGATACATCTGGATATTGAGTCAAAAGAGCAGAAATTTACTATTAATATATACTAAGTGTTAGGGACATTTTCATATGAAAGTCAATTTTAAAGAATTTATTGGGAGCAAACATGTGCATAGTTAATTTAGTGGCTGAGAAAAGTCAATGGAATAACTCATATTGGGCAAAATCGTTGACATCTTTTACTTATACCAAATTGCCATTAACCCAAGGTTGCACAAATAAAATGAGAGATATTGTGAAAGTGTAATTACTCATGAGAAAATAGCAGTTGAAACATTCATACCTTAGGTTTATAAGTTCACTGCAGATGTCTTTTCTTAGTGTTTATTCTTATGAGGCCGATTTGATATTCTTGTCCTGAGATTTTTTTTTTTTTTGAGACCGAGTCTCGCTCTTTTGCCTGGGCTAGAGTGCTGTGGCATCAGCCTAGCTCACAGCAACCTCAAACTCCTAAGCTTAAGCAATCCTCCTGCCTCAGCCTCCCGAGTAGCTGGGACGACAGGCGTTGCATCACCATGCCTGACTAATTTTTTCTATATGTTTTTAGTTGTCCAGCCAATTTCTTTCTAATTTTAGTAGAGATGGGGTCTCGCTCTTGCTCAGGCTAGTTTCGAACTCCTGACCTTGGGTGATCCTCCCACCTCGGCCTCCCAGAGTGCTAGGATTACAGTCGTGAGCCACCGTGCCCGGCCTGTCCTGAGATTTAAAGATGCATTTTTTCCCTTATGGTTTGATATGGTGAGACAAGATTCTTACTGGTCTAAGATTTTGACCTGGTACTTTGAACATTCTATAATTAAGAAGTTGCTTTTTTTCTTAAGGGTAGGAGTTAGTGATTGAGTCTATAAATCCTGTATATAGAACAACACTCCACAAATGAGTAGATGGAGGCAGTTAACAATAGAATGGAGAGGAGGGAAGGAGAGAAGGCACACAGTGACTCTGAAGAAATGCAGTGTTGAGGGAAGATCACAGGCTTTGGAGTTAAGCCAGGGCTTGAATTCTTTGCCTGCCGTTTATAAATCTATGACTTTAGGCAAAATTTTTAACCTTGCAACCTCAGTTTCTCCATCAGCAAAATGCAGATGAGACTTTCATGTTTGTTGAGAGGATTAAATAGGATCATGTAGAAGTGCCTAGGACCATATTTGCCACATATTGGGAAGTTGCCACAATTCTATGTTATTACTTTTTCCATATGTGTTTCCCTTACATGAGAGGATTCTGTAGGGTGGTAGTGTTCAAATAAAGGGGGGTTGGAGGGACAGAGAAGGTATAACTGATGTGTATTAGAAGCACTTGGGAAACTTTGTCAAAATACACGTCCTGGAAATTCTTGAAGATGCTTGGGGGAGGGAATAACCATCTAGGCTTCAAACATGCTCCCCAGGTTATTAATGTCCCTGCCTAGGACTGTTTGGTAGAGGCTTGGGTTTGACACTTGTAAATTAATTTTGATTAAAGCTTTCTAAATTTGGAAGCACCGAGGACCCGAAATATGTCATTCAGCAGTGTTCCTTATGCATGTCTTGTGTTCCAAACATGGTGCATATGTAATGTTTTTTCAATATAGCTGCTTCATTTTTAAAGGGCTTTTTAATCACTGATTACATTGGATCAGTATGTGACTTCATTTTAAGTGAGGAGTGAGGGTACAAAAAAGAGAGAAGGGTGGTGACAGATGTCTAGACACAGTTTCATTGTTAGACTGTTCCTGGAATAGTCTCAGTTCTATGTATTACATGAAAACAAGTGTTCATTATTAGATCTTTTAAATAGTACTATTCTTCTATGTAGAATAAGTTATTTATTAGTAAAAGACCAAAAAGAAGGGATTTTAATTAATCTTTGAGCTTTTTTCTTATGTTTATTTATAATAGCTTTATTTTATGTGGTTTTCTTTTTAAATTTAGAAATTTATATGGGCTTTGATACAAACTTATGCTTGTGGATGCTGTTGCATAATTTATTACAATTTCTTAATGGGGTTTAATAATTCAGACTTATGGAATTGCTAAAACTCTCATTTCTCAAACCAAACAACCAAATTGAAATATTTATTGCATGTTTATATTGCTCGCTTTCTGGGTCTGCTCTGTTCTCCAACAGAACTGCTCCTGAATTCATTTGCCAAGAAAGTAGTGAGGCTTATCTCTTCTTTTCTCTCTCTCTTTTTAAAACTTTCCTGCCCATTGCAATATTTGCAATTCCAACTTGTATCACATAGGAAAAGTTAAATGATGGACTGTATACCTTTTGCAGGATTGTTTGAAAATGGTGAACACGTAGAAGAAACAAGCTACTAAGGTGCTAGAGAATCTGTGTACCTTAGGATGTTTCTCTAAAGGATGAAAGTTATGTGGACATAACTTATTCTTTCCATCAGAAAAGTGGAGAATCTTCTTCTCAGTTGAGTCAAGAGCAGAAGAGTGTCTTTGATGAAGATCTGCAAAAGAAGATAGAAGAGAATGAACGGTTGCACATACAAGTGAGGAAATCTTTCTGTTTTTCCATATTAATATAAAAAATGGGTTGTATGAACTAGAGTGTGGAAAAGCCAAGGCCCATAAAGTGTTTTGTGTCTGTGTGACTGTTTTAATGTCTCCTATGGTCTTTAAGTATATATGTCAGTGTCATTTATTCTTTTCTTAATTCTCACACATATCTTTGTGTGGATGTGTGCTTTTAAGTGCTGTATGCATTTGTTTGGAGTACAGCAGATTAGCTTTATAACTCAACAATACAGAATTGTACTGGGTACTATTCATTTTTATCCAGAAGTGATTGGATGGTCATTTAAATGGGGACTTATCAACAAGTAGTCTTTGCTTTTTAATTCACTGATGTTTTATTAGTTTTCTTCTGTACCGAGGTTAGACTGTAAGGTCTGTGAGGATGTGGACCACATATGTTGTAAGCTTAGCACCAGGACAGGGCCTCACTCATGGCATTTATGGAATGTTGAAAAGTCAATGTCTGCTTCCAAACCATTGAGCATAGTTGTAATGTAGTGTGTATCCAACTATACCTCCTGATTTTTTTTTTTTTTTTTGGTCAAATGGTGAAAAATAAATCTACTAATTCTCATTCTTTGAGAACTTTTAAAAAATGAACTTTTGACCTCCGTATATTTTGCGTCTAAGTATTTGTAATTCTTAATTGATATTGGACTCTCATTAAGGGAAAGAGCTTTACCTGTTTTAGGAATACCACCTATTTTAATTTTGATTATTTCATTTTGGAAGGTAGCCTAGTAGAAAGTTATACCGTGATCAGTTGAATTGTATTTGTACCATAAATTGTTTGAAATAGAAATCCAGGAGACTGAGAGGAAAAAGGTGCAGGCTTTGGAGTAGGTTTCCTTTGTTAAATCCCATTTCCACTGTATTTTAACTATGAGATGTTAGGCAAGTTATGTAACCCTTTTAAGCTTCAGTTTCCATATCTGTAAAGAGGGATGACCATAGTACTAGCTCCGATTATCATGAGGATTGAAGGAGATAATGCCTGTGCAAGTTTAGTGCGGTGAGCATGTGGAACCATATGAGAGTTTCTCAGTGGATAGTCACTGCTGTTTTTTTTCTCATTTATGTATATTAGGATATTGTGAGAAGAGAAAATGGTCTTTTCTTTGCAGTTTTTTGAAGCTAATGAACAGCACAAGCATGTGGAAGCAGAGCTGAGGAGTCGGCTGGCTGCTCTGGAGACAGAAGCAGCCCAGCACCAAGCTGTGGTTGACGGCCTGACCCGGAAGTACATGGAAACCATTGAGAAACTACAGAATGACAAGGCTAAACTAGAAGTAAGCCCCCCTGTTTGTGAGAGCACTTTAAGAAATAGTTAAGGCTTTTGTAAATCATCTCTGCACTTTATAGAACATAGAGTTAGTCATTCTAGTTGAGACTGTTGCCTGCAGCGTCTCCTAAGTGTGCTCACATATGTAGCCTGAGCCATCTGCTTTTCTCTTTCTTCTAAAATGCAGGTAAAATCTCAGACTCTAGAAAAGGAGGCCAAGGAATGTCGACTTCGAACAGAAGAATGGTATGTGGAAACTTGAATTCCAAGGCAGCTCTTGAAGTAAGACTCAGAAGACTTGAGTTTTGGTTTTAGCAACTCCTCTGTCTTAACTGTCTCACATTTAAAATGAGGAGATGGGAGTAGGGAGTATGTAATTTCCAGGGTCCTTTTCAGTTCTGGGATCTCTGGGGCTTTGAAAATTCTTGATAGAGTGGCTTGTTCATTAGTCCTCAGCCTGCAGGTGTTTTGGGCCATGGCAGATAGTGTTCTAGGGCTCCTATACTGAGGACTGAGTACTTTCTTTTTCAAACTCCTCTAAACAGAGGGGCCCTCTGATAATCCCAGACAGGAAACCTGACCAGTTATCACTGTGCCAAGCTTTTAATAGAGGTTGGATAAAATAGAGGTTATATGATTTAATTTGGATATATGTAAATCTTAAAATATTATTTAGTAATGCATGGTAAAGGCATACTCCAATAGGATTGATCAAGTGGATTTCTCACTTCAGTTTAGTTGCATTGGTAGAATTACATGCATGATTAGATGTGTACCTGTGTTCATAGTCAAATCAAAAACAGAAATTGTCAGTTTTGAGCTCAAAGAAAAAAATCTGATATAATATGTACTTAAAAAAAACTTCACAGTGATACTTGAATAAACATTTATGTGCTGTAATGAGAAAAAATTATGATTTTGAAGTGGCTCTAAGATTACTTTGAGCTTGAGGAAATAAACTTAAGTTTGTATACTATCCTGGCACTGTGATAAATTCTTCCAAACTTACATATCATTCTACAGAAGTCTCAGGGACTTTAGAATCCAGGGTTGATGTTTTTCTTATTTTCATCTTTTAACAACTTTCCATTAGGATATCCCAGATGTCAGGCACAATTTTCTGAAATCCTTATACCAACTGTTAAGCTAACAAGCAAATGAGGATTCACTCTGTGATTGGTGATAATGTGGCTTTGTATTTTTTTCTTCCAGTCAATTACAGTTAAAGAATCTTCATGAAGATTTGTCAGGTAGATTAGAGGAATCCTTATCAGTCATCAATGAAAAAGTACCTTTCAATGATACAAGTAGGTATTATGTACTGTTTTCCATTATTTGCAACTTTGAACCTCTCTCTCTGGTAGCTGACTAATTAAAATAATTTGTAATCTATTTGGCAGTAAATATAATTGGTCCAATAGAGGGTTGCTTTGTTTTTGTTCTTTTGTTCAGCTTTGGTCCTCATATTTCATAGGAAGATTTTAAATTGTCATATAACTACTCCAAATCCAGTCTTTCTAGAAGAAGCCAAAATCCACACATTTTTTGATTGCATGTATTTGGCATATCCCAAAGTAAAACCAATCTGCACATGAAGGAGTTGAATATTTGTACAAGAAAAGTTGTTTAATTCAAGAAGGTAAAAAAAAAAAGAAAGAAAAGAAAAGTTGTTGTTCATGGAGCTGAGATTGGTGGTAGAAGGTAGATCTTCTCAAACTGATATCTCAGCCTGGTATCTCCTGCCTCTTGGTCAACCCCCAGTTAGAGTTAGGAAGCTGATGAGTTAAGCCCTGTTTCCTATTCCTTCCTCTTCTGGGAATGGTCTGGTAATTTACACTCCCAAGAGCAACAAAAATGAACTTAAAAATTATTGCCTTACATGTGTAATAGGTACCAAATTTATAATTTTTAGATGAGAATTAAGTCAAAACCTTGAAAGCAAATAAAATATTTAATTGTTTGAATTTTGAAACCTATATTCAAATTAATACACATTTCCTTTTTCTGCAATCACATGGTTGAAATTAATTATTTTACTTCCCCTAAATTTTTCTTAGGAAAGACCTAAAAAAAGAGGAAAAGAAAGAAATCAAAGAAAGATAGCAGTTTGATGTAGCACTAAAATCAGCCTGCATTATCATGATATCAAAAACGTAAAGTCCCCTTTGAAAACACCTGTTTCTAGATTCTACATTAGTATAAATAGCACTGACATACTTTAATTCACTGGGTTTGAAACTTTGGCATTACATTTTACCTTTAATATTTGTAGCAGTTATTCATTAGGTTCTAATAATTTTCTTCTGAATCTGGGATTTATCCTTTTTCTAGCACTAGCTGTCACTGTGTTTTAGGTCCTTATCATGTCACAAGTAGGTTACTACTTTTAGTCTTAAAATATTTGGAGATCATTTGCTGAGTGCCTAGATGGGTGGATAGCATAAGGACTGCAAAAATTTATAAGACAAAAATCTCTACCTTCAAGAAGTTTATAGTCTAGTTGGGCAAAGATAGATGTAGAATTGACTAGAATATAAATTAGATTGTGTCGTGAAGACCCTCTTGGAGTTTCAGAGGAAGGAGATATTACCGCTGCTTGGCATTGTTTGGGGGAAGTATGCTTTGAGCTGAGCCTGGCTGCATTCGTAGGTTTTATTGGGCAGAGATGAAGGGAAACAGCCAGGGAATTGCACAAAGTGTGATATATAGGGCGAAAGGTGCCATCACAACCATAATCCAGTATGACAGGAGACTAGGGCGAGCAGGTGGGAAGAGAAGGGCAATGACAGGTAAGTTCTGAAAGGGAGGATGGGACTGGACCCTAGAGTTCTGGGCTAAGGGACTGGGACCCTTATTCACAAGGCAGTGGGGTTGTTGGAGAGGTTTTTGAGCCAGGGAACATCATGATGAGATAGATTACCCTAGAGTGGGAGGAGGAAGGCTAAGGCTATTGTTTTGATGGTCCTGGTGTCCTGTTATGAAGGCTTAGCCTATGCTGTCAGAGAGATACAGAAGATCTTGTGGAGGGAGAAGGAACAGCATGTTCCTTTGAAGGAGGCATGGAAGAGGAAGGAGGCAGTGAGGGGGAAACAGGAAATAAAAGAGGTAGAGGGGAGCAGGTTTATGGGAAAGGTGATGAGGTTAACTTTGTTGTTGTTTAGTGTTCTTCTGACAGGCAGATGGATGTGTATCTGTTTACCTATTGGTGTGTGCATTCATAAATAAAAGACTAGACCTTGGCAGAGAAACTGGTGCTGACCCTCTTGGGCTGGATGAACTCCCATGTTGGAGTCGGGGGTGCATAGTGCCATGAGGTCCATGCAGGGTCTTTGGTGAGTTCTCTCCCTCATTTAGAGATCAGGAGAGGAGGGCTGTGGCAACGGGGTGAGATAGAAGGTAGAGGAAGGAGAGTTTCAACTTGGTGGTTGCAGGTCAGCTGCGCATTGCTGTGGAGAGGTTAGAAGATGATGGTGGTAATCAACTGGGTTTGGTGGCTAGATTTTGTGACTTCAAGAGAACGGTTACCATTTGAGAGGAGCACTTCCATGCAGGGTTTAGGTGGACACCAGATTCCTAGCACACAGATTAGAAGTGAATAGGTGCCGAGGAAACAGGCAGAACAATGCTGATTTTAAAGCAGTGTAGAATGAAGGAAATGGAAAAGGATGAGAGCCCGACAGGCTAGCAAAGTAAAAGAAAAGGCTGTGTGTGCGGGGATGGGGTGAGGGCAGAGAATTAAGTATTTTATAAGTAAAGGAAAAGAACTCACTGTGGAGATTGAGTCAAATGAGCTGCAACAAATGCTTTTTTGGTAATGAGGTGATACTAAAGACAGGAAGAGGGAATGATTGATGGACTAGGTCCCTGAGCCAATCAGAAGCAGCTGTTGCTAAGGGCCCTGTATGAGGGTCTGTGAGCCATGTACGCTGAGATGGAGGGTGGGGAGCATAAGAACCCTTTCACTTTGGCTCTGTTCATCTTGGCATATTAATGGGGAGCCCATCCTATCCATCAGGGCAAGGGAGGAGAGGAACAATGATATTAGGGGCTTGAAGTGGAACAGGTTTGGAATAGGTGTCATGAGAGGTATGATAGGGACATGGCAGTGAAATTATGGATTGCTGAGTAGAGTTGGAGCCCCCGAAGTTAGGAAGACTGTCTTGTAGTGGACTCTGCTCTGGTTTTGTGTTAGCAAAAGCATTATTGAAATAATGGTCCAGTCCTAGAAGCAAAATAATCAAGGCTGAAATAAAGAGTGCTGATAGGAGAATAGAGAGGTGTTGATGGATAGGAGATTGAGCTGGGAATACGTAGTGATTTAGTAGCAAATGGGACAGAGAACTGGATGAGAATGGCACAGGAACTTTCAGAATCAGATTTTTGGCACTGGAGTCATTCTGACTGAGGACACGGGCAGAGGAGGGCAAGTTTGAGTGGCTGAAGTACTGAGTAGAGATGAGCAGCGATGCAGATCATTAGGTTGAGGACATGTGAGGTCAGGTGTGTGGAGGCTGTCAGAGGTTGATGACAGACTCATGTATAAAGGAGCCCTGTGAGAAAGATATTGGAACCATCCCAGGAGAGTTAGGATTGAGTCATTAGTATCAGCAGTGGCAGATAGTAATAGATTTTTGAATATCGTCGTGTCGTGAAAACAGTGGTATTTTTGGATGATCAGTGTGGCAGCCGTGTGCAGGGTTATTTTAAGAGGGAGAAAAGACTGAACACAGCAAGAACAGCATGAGCCTTTCTAAGTAATCTTGATAGTCCCCAAAGAAGTATTCTAAGAGATTTTTAGAAATAGAAATGCAGGATTTGTTTTTTTTAATCCTGAAGTTAAAAAAAAACTAGAAGTATTACTTTATCTTGAGAAAGCACTGGTTCTATGTCAATTCCATTAGCCTCCTATACTGCGATTGTGGTGTTGATCATTTTAAATTCTTATGTAAAGCTGCTTTTGCTGTAGAGCATTCTTTATTTTGCAGTTAAGCTGTTTTTCTGTAAATTAAAGTGAGACTTAATGCACATTATTTTTGTTTTGTAGAATATAGTCAATATAACGCTCTGAACGTTCCACTCCACAATAGGAGACACCAGGTAAAGGATGAAGTACATGTTTTATTTTTAGCCATGTGTATGCCAGGCTTTCCAGAAACAAGGATTAGTTGTTTGGCCTCTGTTTAGTGCACTAAATCATTGCATTCATTTAACTTTTGCTTTACTTTCTCATACATTTCTTCAAAGTGTGTGACTTACTTTTTATTGAATTCATGAGTAATACAGATTTTTGCTGTATCTTATCTCATAACATTGGAACTCAATTATGGGGGGCATTAATTTTTCAGCCATACTTGTAGATTGGTAGACTTTGCACTTAAGTGGTCTAGGTTAAGTGGAGGAGGTATATTTGCCCAAATTGGTGGCTTTCTAATTTACTTAGATAGGAATATTGAAATTCAAGTGAGACCAAATGAATTTAAGAATTCATACTAGAATTGAAATGTTTTCTCCAGAAGCAGAGTTAATAAAGTAGTGTTAGAATGATAATTGATGGTTAACTTTAACTGTGCACTTTTTCATTTTAAAGCTGAAGATGAGGGATATTGCTGGGCAGGCCCTGGCTTTTGTCCAAGATCTTGTGACAGCTCTTCTGAACTTTCACACCTACACAGAACAGAGGATTCAGATTTTTCCTGTTGATTCTGCCATAGACACTATATCTCCATTGAATCAGAAGGTAAATTTAACTCAGAATAGATTTTGTTTATCCTGAACAAAGAGGCAGACGTTATTTATTTTCAGACCACTTCTGTGCATCAGCCAAGTACTGTGGAGGATATGGAAAAACACTAAAAGTAGTTTTTAACCTCTATAAAATATGGCAAAAATGGAGATTTTAAAGAAATTAAACACTAAGGAGCTTTTAAAAGACCTCAGAGTGAATGAGAGATATGGCCGATAAGTGGTTTGAGATCACCAGGGAGGAAGATTCTTCAGGGATTTGAATGGGCCTTGAAGAATGAGCAAGATTTGAATAAGAGGAAAGAATTGGGATGATTTTTTCCCCCCAGAAGAGGGAAAGTCATAAGTAAAATTATGGAGCAGGAAAGCATAGGGGCATGGGGGATGGGGATAGAGATGGGGAAAGAGTAATGAACAAACTGTCTTGGCTGGAGTATGAAGTCCTGGAAGGAGAGGAATGGGAAGTAAGGTTGAAAAGAGAAAATATGGCTCCAGGTTCTGAAAGGTCCCTAAGGCAAACTAAGGCATGGATCTTCATTTTGTTTATAGAATTGAGGGCTTCGTAGCTTTTTGATCCGGGGGTGACATAATGAAAAGTGCCATTTTATTGTTGGAAAAGTTAATTTGCTGGCATTTTTCGGTCTTCATGTTTGTACTCACTATGTAACTTTCATCACTGGGCATGTCTAAAAGTGAAACAACCTATGTGGTGTAGTTGACCTTTTCCCTTCCTGCTGGGTTGTGGAATGGGAGTCAGACTGCCTCTCTAGTTGAGGTTGGAGGGCATTTTCAGGGTTCATGAGGTTTAAACAGGGTTTAAATGTCACTTTCTTTAATCCGTGTGCTATTTTGGGGGGCCTATTAGAGTTTGCTGCTCTCTTTCCTTTTTTCTCCCTAGCTAATTCTAAAAAATGATTGAAGGTAGCCTGAAAATTTTCATTTAACTGAAAAGGATAAAATAAATGTTAGTGAGTGCATTAATTATGTAGTGCTATATAATAAGTTACTTTAAAACCTAGTAGTTTAAAACAACAAACATTTATCTCATATAGTTTTTGTGGGTTGAGAATTCAGGAGGTAATTTGCTGTGGGTTTCTGGCTCATAGTCCCTTACAGGGTTTCAGCCGCGATGTGGCTGGGGCTGGGGATTTGCCTCCTGTGTGGCTCACTCACGTTCTGGTGAGTTACTGCTGGGCGTTGGCTAGACACCTCAGTTTCTCATTGCCTGCACTTCTCCATAATGTTAAGTGTCCTCGTGATATGGCAGCTAACTTCCCCCAGAGCAAGTGATCCAAAAGAGAGCAAGGTGGAAGCCACAATGCCTTTTATGACATAGCCCAGGTAGTCACTTACCATCACTTCTGCCATATTGTATTGATCACACAGACCAACCCTGAGACAATGTAAGAGGGTAGTACACAAAGCCAAGAATACTGGGAGGTGGGGATCCCTGGGGCCATCTTGGAAGCTGGCTGACACAGGGGGGACATTGAGGGAAATGTGCTCCTGGTGCCTCATGATACGGCAGTCTGAAATGAATCATGCCACTCTTCCTACTTAACCAGATTCTTTTTCCCCACTTGTTTTTGTGCATCATGCAGTGTTTCCAGGGTTTGAATAAGTGTTTATGTCCATGGGTCTCCTATATGCCTATTGGTGTAGAAAAAACTTGGACTCTGGACTCAGAATTCTGGGGTCTCAGTCCAGGCCTGCCACTTTCTAGTTATAGCCCCTTGGGAAATTTACTTAATCTCTCTGTGCTTCAGTTTACTTGTCTTTAAAGTGGGGGATAGAATACCTACCTCACAGGTATGCATGGGTGAGATTTAAATAAGATAATACATATATGGCACTGAGAATGTGCCTGGCACATAGTAACCACCCAGTAAAGCTTAGCTCTTATCATTGTCACCGTTATGCCTTACTTATAGGAAGCCCTCAGTAGGTGCTTGATTTTCATCAATTTTGGTCTTACTCCACAAATCTATTGAAGTATATAGAAGTTAAATTTTGGGACTTTGAAATATTCTTTAATATCCCTGGCAAAAAGCTTTCAGAAGTCCTGGATAGGAAAAACAGTACTGTAATGTAGTTATGCTTTTTTTTAATACTTCCTATGATATCAAAAAATATTTTCTACCCAATACTAGTTCTTTGTCCATTATTGGAATTTTATTTTAGCTTGTTGTCATATTATACCCACATAGTGAGAATCAAATATCTTAATCTTAATTTATCTGAAACACTTCATTACTTTGAAGTTCATGTATTTTTCAATATTTTACCTTTGGTGCTTTGGCCTATGAAAGGCCCTTTCTGGTTTTTCTAATAAGCCTATTATATTAAAGGAGATTCAGGAACCATTTGTTAAAAGATGACCAGAGTGTTTAAACTTGTTTGTGGAATCATAAAGTAGACCTTTAGACCTGTAAGATTGAAGTTCACCTTATTTTATAGCTGTAAAGATTAAAGCCCAAAGAGATTGAGTTTCCCAGGGCCATGTATCTGTGTAGTTTGCAGTGGAATCAGTTGAATCACATTTCTGCAAAATGAGATCTTATACGTTTGAGAAATCAAAATTTGAGCTATTATAAAATACTTAAATAATTGAAATATCTCATAAGTGAAATTATGTTTTTTGCCTCTAAATTATCTAAATGCCTATAGGACTTTTTTCTGGTTCTATTCTTTATACCATATTAGTCCTTTGTAAATACTAAGGTATCAGTGACAATTATAAAAGTTTTTGTATCCTCATTTGATGATAAATACATTCCTCAAATTCGTCAACCCTGAATATTGTATACAGTAAAATAAGAAGTTGTCATGAATAGGCTTGTTTTTTGAAAATAAGGTATGTAACACAAATATCTGTGTCATACAGTTTTTTTTTTTTTTTTTTGAGACAGAGTCTCACTTTGTGCCCAGGCTAGAGTGAGTGCTGTGGCATCAGCCTAGCTCACAGCAACCTCAATCTCCTGGGCTCAAGTGATCCTACTGCCTCAGCCTCCCGAGTAGCTGGGACTACAGGCATGCACCAGCATGCCCTGCTAATTTTTTGTATGTATATTTTTAGTTGGTCAATTAATTTCTTTCTATTTTTAGTAGAGACAGGGTCTCGCCCAGGCTGGTTTGGAACTCCTGACCTCGAGCAATTTGCCCGCCTTGGCCTCCCAGAGTGCTAGTACAGTTTTGATTTTTAAATCTTAAAAAAAATTTTTTTTTTTTTTTAGAATGGGACCCCTATGGAGAAGCAGGTGCTCAGGGAAGCTGGCCTGTTGGTGCTAGGTTGTAATGCAGTATCCCTCCCCATTTCCTCTGATCCTGTTTGTTAATTGTGTCACCCCTCTTCTGGTTCCTCAACTTGGAATGGTATGGGGACTTGGGGATATTATCTGGGACTATTAGAGGGGAGCATCTGTGTAAAAGCCAAATTTCCAGGAAAAGTTTCCAAAAGAATTTAGGTTTATAAGTCAGTTGGTTCATTTAGAAATGTGTCATTTGTTGTTTTCCAGTGATTTAATTCACAGTTCCTTCCCCTATTTAGTTCTCACAGTACCTTCATGAAAATGCGTCCTATGTCCGCCCTCTTGAGGAAGGAATGCTTCATTTATTTGAAAGTATCACTGAGGATACTGTGACTGTCCTGGTAATTTTCTTCCTTGTTTTATTAATACTTCTAGAAACTGGGAATTCCTCTTTGCTCAATAGCACTTTTAAACTTTGAAATTATTTTTCTTTTCTAGGAGACAACTGTGAAATTGAAAACTTTTTCAGAGCATTTAACCTCCTACATATGTTTTCTTAGGAAGATTCTTCCTTATCAGTTAAAAAGGTACTTACCCCTGGAGGTCAGGGAGCTTGGGGAATTAAGGATGTAACTTGATCTGCTCTGGAGTTAATGAAATCATAATATGTGCTTCTTGTAATCAGCTGATTTGGACTTTTGTGAAGAGGAAAAGCATAGTTGAACAGCATAAAAACTTAACATGTAAGAAAATGGAATTGTAGTCTGTCAGCTACAGTTTTTTAGTAGTTCTGCACTATGGTTACTATTTTCTCTTTGTGGTAAGTAAACATCTAGATGGGAGTTATAAGAGTGAACTTTACCTTTGGATTTATAATCCCTAACTTTCTTTGAAAAGGTGTATTCTTGTATTTATTATCAGTGACTTATTTAAGTTATAAACAAAAAACATTAACTACTCTAGCTCTGATAGGATATATCATTTAGTAATCTTTCATCTTTCTACCTGAAATATTTCTGGAAAGGCAGAAAAAACAATATATATTACTTGAAATTTGATAATGTTGCTTGTAAGTTTGCATTTGGTCTAAAACTACCAAGACTCCTATTTTATCTAAATCTTTTCATTCTAAGATTTAGTCTTTAAAAAAAAAATCAAAGAATAATATATCTGGAACATAAGGAAAATAAGGATATATTTATTATAGTATATTATAAAATAAGGTTTAGAAAATATGTAGGTTAATCACTTGCAGATATTGAAAATATGTAATCATAGTTCATAAGTCCTTGTAAAACTAGTGTTAGCTTTTCAAAAATATAAAATTTCATTATTAAAATTAATATGTGTTAAGAGACATCCTATTTCCTAATTCTAACCTAACCGGCTATTTCAGTAACCAAATTCTATGATTTGTTCATGTGTTATTAGGATTTTAGGAATCTGGGAATTATGATCTACACTAATAATTATGAATTATAGTTTCATTTAGATTTTTATATGTTATAGTTAAGTATAATGAAAGTTTTTCTTTTTTGAAAATTGACTCTAGAAGTTTAACATTAAAATTGAATATACCTTATTGATTTAGCTTATGTTTAGGAAGAATCTGTTTAAAAACCATTACAAAAGTATTTACTATTAGAAAAATGTATTCATTTTTATTTTATCTTCATTTTTTTTCATAATTACAGTTTTAAAAACACTGCATAAATCCTTTCTTGAGCTGAGATTTCTGTTTTTGGAATGTTCTAGTTAATATGGTTGCAGCTCTGCCTCATGAGTTATTCATGTTTTTAGGCAATTTGTGTGGCATTGGTTGAAATACCGCTTTAATTGACAAAATGACCTGCTGTTTAGTAGTAAATGGACTTAGAATGGAATGAAGCTGTCTGCTGTAAATAAAGTAGAAGAGAAGCGGCAAGGGAGAGAGAATGGATATAATTAAGATTCCATGCTAACTTTTCTGGCTTTGTGTAAAAAGCTTCTTTTTGCTTGATTACCTCCACATTTTTTCATTAACACTGTTGAGTCTACATTTTTTTAACCTTATAATTAAGCTTTCCCATGTAGCTAGTTAAACTTGAAAATGATAAAATGTATTTTATGAATGTTAAACATTTACTTTGAAATTTGAGCCTCTAGATTATTTTTCCCCAATCTGTTTGGCATTTGAAAAAGTACATATACTCAAAAAGGTTTTTTAGTGATTCTCTCTGTTAGTCTCAGTGGCAGTAATACCAGTTGCTGTGTAATTAATTTTCTTAAGGAATTCAGTCCATGAAATATTTTTTCTTATAAATATTAAGGATTTTTAATCTTTAAAATATTAAAAATATTTTAATATTTTTGTGCTGCTTTTTTTTCATTCAGTCTCTGGTACTTCATTGACATTTAATGCAAGCAGCGTGTGTTTCATTGATGTACAAAATGGAGCCATATAAATGAGATCAAATTCCTTTTTCTGCATGTCTCTCTTTGGATATTGTTGTTTGAGAATTTAAATGGTTTCTAATAGCTAATTGAAAATCATTCAGGATGCTCACTTCTTAAAAATATGCCCATTCCTAGTTTAGAAGAAGAATGTGAATCTTCTCTTTGCACATCCGCGTTAAGAGCCAGGAATCTAGAGCTGTCCCAGGACATGAAAAAGATGACAGCTGTGTTTGAGAAGCTGCAGACTTATGTTGCTCTTCTCGCCTTGCCAAGTAAGTCCGTTATTCATGGTTCAACTTGAAGGACTTAAGAGTACAAGAAACAGGAATAGGGAGATCATTTAGCTTAGAGGGAGAGGAGCACAGGATCTTGAGTCAGAAAAACTCAAATTTAAATCCTCCAGCCTTTTTAATTCCCTTTCTCTCTTTCCTTTTTTTTAAATGAAGAGGGACAAATCATAAGAATTTGTAGCAACTTTCCAACAAGTAGCATAAGGGAACCTTAGTAGTAAAAATGCCATTTGTTTCCCTTTGGCCTAAATTGAAAAAAGTACTTTCAAGTAACTGAGTGGACCTTAGTGTAAATGACATTTTAAATAATGCCGTGGTTTTCCTGGTACTGTGATTTTTTTTTGTTTTTTAAGACAGCTTTATTGTGATATAATGTACATACCATACAACTTAACCAATTTAAAATGTATAATTTAGTGGTTTTTAGTGTATTCACAGATATGTGCACCATCATTACAATTTTAGAACATTTTAATCACTTTAAGAAGAAATCCCATGTTCTTATCGCCTCATATTTCCCCATTCCTCTTTTCCCTGTTCCTTAAGCAACTACTAATCTACTTTGTATTTATTTGCCTACTCTGGACATTTCATAGAAATAGAGTCACATAATATGTGGCACTTTCTGACTGCTTTCTTTCACTTAGCATAATGTATTTAAGATTCATACATGTTATAGTATGTATTAGTATTTCATTACTTTTTATTGCAGAATAATACTCTGTTTTATGGATGTACTACATTTTATTTATCCATTCATTAGGTAATGGACATTTGGGTTCTTTCCACATTTTGGCTGTTATGAATAATGATGCCATAGACAAGAGTGTACCAGTTTTTGTGTGGACATATCTTTTCATTGCTTTTCGGTGTACCTAGGAATAGAAGTTCTGGGTCATGTGGTAACTCTATGCTTAACTGTTTGAAGAATTGCCAGACTGTCTTCCAAAGTGCTGTTGCATTTATTTGGTTGGTGCAAAAGTAATTGCAGTTTCGGGCTGAATTTTAAATCATTATAACTAGGCTCAGATGCATCTTCATTAATCAAAATAGGAACCATTTCAGTCAACACATTTTTGCCAAAAATAAATAAATTTGTTTATTCCTGTAGCATAAAAATCCGTGCTTCCCGATTCCGTGAACTCTTGGAAAGCGTTTTCTGCATCCTGCTGGTTGTAGAAGCTTTTTCCCTGCAAAAAGTAATCGAGATGCTTGAAGAAGTGGGAGTGGGTTGGCGAGAGGTCAGGTGAATATGGCAGATGAGGCAAAACTTCATAGCCCGATTCCTTCAACTTTGGAAGTGTTGGTTGTGTGACGTGCAGTCTGACGTTGTTGTACAGAAGAAATGGGCCCTTTCCATTGACGAATGCCGGCTGCCGGTGTTGTAGATTTTGGTGCATCTCATTGATTTGCTGAGCATACTTCTCAGGTGTAATGGCTGTACTGGGATTCAGAAAGCTGTAGTGGATCAGACCCGCAGCAGACACCAAATAGTGACCATGACTTTTTGTGGTGGAAGTTTGGCTTTGGAGCTTCTTCTCGGTCCAGTCACTGAGTTGGTCATCACCTGTTGTATAAAATCCACTTTTCGTCACATGCCACAATCCGATGGAGAAATGGTTTGTCGTCGTTGCATACAAGAAGAGAAGATGCCACTTCAAAATGATGATTTTTTTTGATTTTTGGTCGGCTCATGAGGGCACCCACTTTTCAAGCTTTTTCACCTTTCCAATTTGCTTCAAGTGCCAAACAACCCTAGAATGGTCGACGTTTGAGTTCTTCAGCAACTTTTCATGTAATTTTAAGAGAGTCAGCTTCGATGATTGCTCTCAATTGCTCGTTGTCAATTTCTGGTGGCTGGCCACTATGTTCCTCATCTTTAAGGCTGTCGTCTCCTTTGCAAAACTTCTTGAACCACCATTGTACTGTACATTCGTTCATTAGCAGTTCCTGGGCCAAATGCGTTCTTGATGTCACTAGTTGTCTCTGCTGTTTTACGACCCAGTTTGAACTTGAGTAAGAAAATCACTCGAATTTGTCATTAGCAAAAAAACAAAGAAATGTGCATTAAAATGATGTATAACATAACCACATTTATTTAAGGATGCATTCCAATATCAAATGGCAAATTTCAACAATGCTAAAACCACAATTACTTTTGCACCAACCTAATACATTCCTACCAGCAGTGTATGAGGGTTCCAGTTTTTCCATATCCTTACTAATACTTACTATTATCTAACTTTTTTATTTTAGCAATCCTAGTGGGTATAAAGTAGTATCTCATTGTTTTTTTTTTTTTTTTTTTTATGACAGAGTCTCACTCCGTTGCCCAGGTAGAGTGCCATGGCATCGTCCTGATAGTCACAGCAACTCAAACTCTGGGCTCAAGCAATCCTTCTGCCTCAGCCTCCGAGTAGCTGGGCTACAGGCTGAGCCACCATGCCTGGCTAATTTTTTTTTCTATATATTTTTAGTTGGCCAATTAATTTCTTTAGAGACAGGGTCTCGCCCTTGCTGCTGGCTGGTTTCGAACTCCTGACCTTGAGCTATCCACTTGCCTTGGCCTCCCAGAGTACTAGGATTACAGGCGTGAGCCACTGCACCCGGCCCTCATTGTGGTTTTGATTAACGTTTCCCTGATGGCTAGCGATTTTGAACATCTCTTAATGTGCTTATTGGCCATTCGTATACTTCTTTGCGAATTTTAATTGAGATCCTTTCTGTATTTTTCTTTTCTTTTTTTTTTGAGATAGAGTCTCACTCTTGTTGCCGCGGTAGAGTGCCTTGGCATCAGCCAGTCACAGCAACCTCAACTCCTGGCTCAAGCGATCCTTCTGCCTCAGCCTCCCGAGTAGCTGGGACTACAGGCATGTGCCACGTGCCTGGCTAATTTTTATATATATATATTTTTAGTTGCCAATTAATTTTTTCTGTTTTTAGTGGAGATGGCATCTCACTCTTGCTCAGGCTGGTCTCGAACTTCTGAGCTCAACAATCCGCCTGCCTCGGCCTCCAGAGTGCTAGGATTACAGGCATGAGCACACACCCTGGCCCTTTGTGTATTTTTCAATTGGACTATCTTTTTATTATCAAATTCTCAGAGTTCTTAATATAGATACAAGTCCTTATGTGGATGTTATATTCTTCATTTTTGGGTTGTCTTTACTTTCTTGAATAGTGTCCTTTGAAACACAACAGTTTTTAATTTTGATGAAGTCAATTTTCTATTTTTCGTTATGCTCTTGCCTTTGATGTCAAATTTAAGACACATTGTGAAATCTGAGGTTGTTCCTTCTCATATTTTCTCCATATTTCTTCTCTAAGAGTTTTATCATTTTAGCTTTACATTTAGGTCTTTGATTCATTTTTTAGAGTAATTTTGTATATGGTGCACATAAGAGTACAACTTCATCTTCTGCATATGGCTATCTAACTGTCCCAGCACCATTTCTTGAAACAGGAACATTCTTTCCCTATGAATGATCTGGCACCCTTGTCAAGAATCAGTTGACATAGATGTAATACGCTTTATTTCTCTGCGATCTCATCTTCTGGTTTCCCTTGACTAAACTATGTCTGTCTCATGCCACCGCACGACACTGTCTTGATGATATGTCCTGTGTGTAATTTTGGAGATCTAGAAAGTGCTGACTCTTCTATTTGTTTCTTCTTTTAGCATTTCTTAATTTGATTTAAAGACTATTTTAGTTATTCAGGTCATCAAGTTTGTATGGTGGTGTTGCTTCTAGAGATTCAGCCTTGGGAAATGCTCATGGTCACCCTGGCCTGCTCAAAAAATACAATAGATAAAGTTCTTAATCTCTCATCAAAAACTAACCATCATTGCTAATGACTGAATGGCTTTTGTTTCCAAATGCCTTGGAATGATATATAACTCTTTCAATGATCAGGAAAAATCTGCAAACAGATATATATAAGTGGACTCCTGTATATCACCTGGTATACGTTT